TGAATATTCATATTACTTTTGACATCAAATTATACCATCGCATAGTATAACAGCGGAAAGGACTTATATAGTCAGTGCCTGCTGTTCAATCCTATTATGGTTGATAGAATATCGATTAAATTAACTTCAAAGAAACTTAAATTAGATTCTTCCTGCTATCCTTGCGTGTTTAATATTAATAAGACTGATATAAATTTGAAAAAAAAGGTTAGGACGGGCAATGGTGATCAACGTCATTAATAAATGCATATTTTCCAGGAAAATAAAAACAGTCAAGAATATAAACTGGTAAGATGTTTTTTTTTTTTTCCCTACGGTACCAAGTATTAAAAACGTATTTATCTATAAGGAGTACTTACATACTGTATGTATGATTTTTAACCCTTTTGTCACTTTCGCTTTCAGGTGAATTTCCAGGTAAATTTGAATAAATTTCTTTCGAATGTGTATATAGATACAATGCTCAAAAGTTTTTATTTCTTATTATAATAACTTTATATTTATAAATAGTTTTTAAACAATATTTCAGCCAACAAATACGTCAGACCCAAAAGAGTCCAACAAACTGGAAGTCAATGATGAGAAGCATAACAATAAGTCGATTGTGTCTCTGAAAAAAATGCTACACATAATTCCCACGTTTGCTCTTCTTCTGGGTATTGTCATCTTGACTGTACTTTTCTGTCTTAAGAAGGAGGAAGCGACGGGTAAATAATTTGTTTACAATTTGTAATAAATATTCCTAAAGATTGCAACATCATGCTTAATTAAAATTCTACTGTGTCACCGGCTATAAATTGACTTTTTACTTCCTAATGAAGTTCTTAACAATATGTGATTGAACAGTATCTACTGTGACAAGATTACCATAACCCAGTTTTAACGACGGTCAAGACTTGCTTCTGCACTAAAATCTAAAAGGTCCCATTTTATCCTATTTTGTATATCTGTTCATTTTATAATATATCTGATCATTGTATTCTAATTGTCATTTGATTTCATTTCATGTGTTTAAAAAAATACAAATGAAATATCAGCATTATCATCATAAAAATGTTTTAAAGCAATGCATATCTGTTTGAGTTCTGTTGTTACGGATGATATTCGATATTTTATAAGGAGTAACAAATACTTGTTTATCTTCCTTTTAATTCAATAGAACTAAGGCACAGGAATAAAACCTTTCATTAAAACTGAATACCGGCTTTCAGTGACCTTTCAGTAACTGAATAGCAGGTACATTTCAGTGACCTTTCAGCCCCGATTTAGGCACACTTCAGTCACCATTCAGCAAACACATTTCAGTTCTCTGTGAGTTAACTTTCCATGCCCTCTCCATCGTCTTTCAGTTACTTTTTCAGTCGTCATTCAAAAACTTTTCATCGACTTTACATTGGTATATAAGTAATCATTTCTTAATAATCTATAAAATTATTGATTTCTTTAAATATCTTTCTGTTATTCTTATTGGGGAAAGTGTCCAATTAATATTCTACACATTTATTACACATCACCGATTATCAGGTCAGACATCACCAATTATCAGGTCAGAGTAGGTTGTCACCCGAGGGCGCTTGCGCCCCGGGGATGACAACCCTTCTCAGACCTGTATATGTCAACATACAAAATTTACGTCACCGTTAGAATTTACTGTTTAGCGATCCCGCATATATAACAGTTATACAAATTATTCATATGAGTTATCTCAATTTTCACCTAAAAGGAGACAAAACTGTTGTTATCCTGCATGTTCGCTTGCGCTATTTCATTTTTATCAGAAGGGAGACAACAGAGTTGTCACTCTGTGCGTGAGGGAGACGTTTGGAATTGTCTCCCCGCACGTGATATGCTCTAAACCAATCAGATTGACTGTACAATTCTGAAGGATAATAATAATATTTTTATGCTTTAACATTTATAAGTCGCCCTGACGTATTCGAAAAGATCACAGCCTATTCAGCAGGAGGAATCGGGTTCGACCCCAGGATGAGTTACTCATTTTTTTTTTTAAGATTCACTTTAATTCACTTTTAGATTATTCGAAAAAAATTACCATTATAATAGGAAAAAGTAAAATTAAAAAAAAAATAAATAAAACTGTTTAGTGAAAGAAATAAACAAATTAATCAATAAAGAGATACAACTCAGCTATATTAAGGACGTTAATTGGGAATGTGACCGTTATGCCTTCTCAATATGTTTAACATTTAATAATCACTGTAAAAAAGTAACTATAAAATTGTCGGAAAAGTAATATAGTTGCCTATAATGAATATGTTTGTGTCGTAGATAGTACCGTTTACATGGCATATATCAGCTGTGTGTCACGTGACTGGTATAAAAATCGTATTATTAGGCTGAATGTAGAAAATGACACTAGTGCAAGGGCATCCGATTGTTTTTGGCCATAAAAATTGATACACATTAGTAGAGGTTTACTTCCCCTACCTGAAAAGTGCTGGGAGCTAGTTTGTGTTGTTTGGGAAGTTCTACTAATTGTGCAGAAATTGCGTGTGAAAGCAAAAATTTTCAACTTCTCCTCTACATCGTTATGAATCTAAAAAAAATATTCTTCAGATCAGAATCAACTCCCAGCACTTTTAAGATTATACTTGACATAAGCAATCGGTATTTCGTATTTCAGCATAAACAGTCAAGTGTATGCCCTTGCACTTTTGACGTTTATCGGGGATATGATTATCGTAAAATCGATTTTTTTTTTTTTTTTTTTTTACATTCTCTGACGCTGTACAGCTTGATAAGGTCTTGATGAATTAATTTTATACACAATTGTTTAAAAATGTTTTGTTTTCAGTTTTAATAATGATATTTGAAATTGAAGATGATTTTGTATTTAATTAAGCATTTTTGTAATTATTAAAACAATGGATCCACTCCTCTGGTTCATTTGTACTGCGTCAAGCCAAGACAAAAGACGTCATATATGACACAAGATTTGTTTCTTAAAACTCGGCAGTTTCGTTATAAAATGGTGAGATTTTGCATTCCCAAATAAATAATACATCAAACAAATGCATGAAATCTTTTATTTACGCATCATCATGCGTTATAATTAATTTGTCTTACTTGTTAAATTTTTAATGACGTCACAATGATAAATGCTACACAGTGCATCACAAATGTGAACTCATGCATTCCTTAACGTCGCTGAGAAATGAAAGATAACTGAAATGCCACTGAAAAGTACCTGCCATTCAGTTGACTGAATAATAACTGAAAAATCACAGAAAATACAAGGACAGGCTCCTTTCATTGACTTTTCAGTGACCTTTCAGTGGGCTTTCAGTTAACATTTCCTCTACCAAATCGTTAATTTCATCCTGTGAAGAGTTCGGAATATTTAATGTAGTATAATGCAAGCATGATTTTTTCTACTGATAACATTTTTGTATCTCTAGAAAAAGAACAGGCTTCACTTCAACGATTAATCATACAAGAACTTAACAACTTGACTGGTAGGTGAATGTTATCTGCACGTTTTAAGGTCATGACTATCTTAGATTTAGAAATCTAGTGGAAAAAGTTCACAAAAATTTGTGATATGAAGAATAAACACACAAAATTATTTTTTCAATGATTTTTTTTTATTCCTCCAGAAAAAGAGCAGTCTTTACTTGGACGATTAAGCAATTCTCAAAAAAAGCTTAGCAACGTGACTGGTGAGTGAATATCAACTGCACGTTTCTGTGTCATGACTCCCTTTATATAAATTCCCTGAGTTATTTACACATCAACAGCTACCACACAAATGCAATGCTTATATGTGTAAACTTCTCAGTCGTGTTGTATTTTCTATCTTCTTTTAATATTTTAAATGTTAATCGTACAATATCTGGACAGATATCCTCATAAAATATCTATCAAAGATTCATTATATTCAAATTTTCAATCCATGTGAAAAATATGTTTTTTGGAGGGAATGTCTCTCAATCTTTCCATGAATTACATATGGATGTGAACCGAAATAAGATTCATGAGTTCCTTAATATATCATGATAATGATATATGCATTTTGATGCTATTTTTCTGCCTCTTTTTCGGACGTATCACTTGAAAAGTAATAAGAAATCTACCAATTTATAAATTCCATTGCATTTGATGGTTTAATATGACACTTGAGACTGTATTTAATATATATCTTTAAACACGTTTACTCATTCTGAACCAGTTTATGTACTTAAAATACATGTAGTATTAATACAAACACTTTAAGCATATATCAAGGATTGCATTAAGCACTTTTACATACATCGAGACTTAAGTATTCTAAAGTTCCATGTGATTGAGCTATATGAATTTGGGATGGACACATCGGAAGGTACCTGTAGCTTTCCACTGGATTGGGTAGAAGTAGTCACCAAAAGTCTTCGATGCATGAGCCACCTATATTTCTCTTTTAGACATACTATTATATTAAAGTATAAACAAAATCAAAAGCTTAAACATAAATAATAGCACCTTACCACCTGTTAAAAATATTGCACAGTGGGTTCTGTTTCTCTAACTATGTCATAAAGCAGGAAGAATCACACACTCAAAGAAAGGGACACTGAAATACCTTATCAACATATTATTGGTTTGATGTATCATTTATAAGCTTTTATGCTCCATGCATCCCCTCCTCCCATTCGAGATAAATAACTTCCAAAATAAGTTAAAGGGTGCAAGAACATAATAACAAGCTGACTGTGTTCCTTTAAATGGAAATTAATAGTATGTAGAATTGAAAAGTGTGAAGAGTCATTGTGAGATGAATCCCACTCACAAAGATTGTATATTAAACTAAAATTATATTGCCATATATTCAGTTATATTATAATAGCAGCAAAATGTGAAATACTAGAGTTTTTCTCCAATGAAAATATTTTCAAAGAGTGGGCGCGCAGATAAGATTTAAAACAGTTACTACACTTAAGTAATTACTTTGAATCATCATATCAATTTAATAATATTATTATTTTATTTTTATTTAACAACTAGCTCAAAACAAGGAACTACAACATCAACTTACCTTGGTAAATGACAATCTTACAAACGTCATCGGTGAGTCCTATCCCCATTACAAGTCTGGCCTCTTACCCTTATTGACCAGACCAGATATACAATGTACATTCTCTCTGCAGAGAGAGAGAGAGAGAGAGAGAGAGAGAGAGAGAGAGAGAGAGAGAGAGCATGTGAATATAGATATTAAATACTCTTAATTCGATATTTCATATGCCCTGTTTCAAAAATTTCTATAGTTTTTCTTTATCATTATTATTGTTATTTTTTTCTTTATTTTTTTTCCCTCATTCATAGTTAATCACTTAATGACTGTTGATTTTAAAAGATAAATACAACTATATGAATAAAAAAAATGGCTGCCCGCACAATGTAATTTAACTTAAAACATAACAAACACCTCAAGCCCATATGGAATATTTTTTAAAACATGTTTTTTTCCTAAACAATTAACTAAAAACACGGAACTAGAACTAACTTTCACCAGAGTACCAAAAAATCTTACACAAGTCACAGGTGAGATTATTTTTTTTTAATGATAGGCCTTTTAATCTTTAATGTATTCATGAATAAATTTGCATGTTGTCTCGGTACATTATATTTTCTTTTAATTTACATCGTATTAAATGCACAAGTCAATTTTTAAAAAAAATAAAATTGAGGCGATTTAAAGTTATAATAATTCGTATATAGCACTGTTTTGTTGTTTCACCATAGAAGTATAGTTAATAGTGAACTTCTACGACACCGTGAAAATATTTCTTACATGCGAACAAAATGTATATACTTTTGTCATATATTAAATCAAATTTATCGATATTTTTGATTCAAAATGCCAAAAAAACCTTACATATTTATTTTTAAATGTTATAAGCTTTAGGTAATTGTGAAGGAATATTTCATCCGATTTTTGTTTTATCGGGAAATTTCACTTAAATTTATATTCAAAAGGGATATTGGTTCATTCATATTCTTTACCAACAATCTTTTCTTCAAAATTAGATCGAAAGCATTCCCTACAGCGTGAATTAACAAATCTTCAGGAAAAACAGAGAAAATGGACCGGTAGATACTTTAAACTAGCAAATATTTGGGGGAAAGTCACGGGATTCAAATTATGAACAGTAAAATAATTAAAATATGTTCATAGCAAATTCATACTACAACACACAAATGCTTATAGGAAACACATTTCTATTAAGTGTGAGAAAATTATGACACAATAACGAATTATTAAAAGCCAATTATTATTGAAAAGTTCAGAGGTTTTTAATTTCTCTTTGATGATTTATGCTAAACTCAGCTGATGTGCATCCTTCTAGAATATTAAAGATATTAACGTTGTTTATCCTTGCACCGCGACTCTAGAGCATACTCTCTAACCAATGTGCTACGCGGGCGACCATTATACTCGTATAATGGATGGTTTGTGAACTGTTGAAGTTTGACGTGCTCCGTGAAGCATTTTCTCTTACTTGAATTTCAAATATTTCTTTTTTCAGTTTATCGTGATATATCTATCGTTTAAGTCTTTATTTATTCAGGGTTATTGTTAAATATATATCTACAAATTTGGTTGAAACCCGACGTCAAATAAAATAGTTATGACAAAAGTCTGTCCATTCTTTGAATAGCCCTTTTATAAGGCATATTTGAATTGTTACGTTTTAAAAATATGACATTCAATTCAAAGAAATATAACATAATAATAAATGTTACAGTCCTGATGCCAAGGCTTATATGAATCTTTTTTGTTACTAATATCCCTTGCAAAAATTAAACGTTTATGCCTATGAAGGAACTAGGTTCACTTTATCTATAAAAAGGCCCTGCCCATAAATCAATGAACTAACCAAGACACAGCGTCTCATTTTTATTAACATTAATATAAAGTGGAGAATTTGTGTTTTCATTTCTTATTAAAAAGGTTTTACAGAACGTCATAATATATAGACTAGCGAGAAAAAAAATATATATAATATTTTAATATATATGCAGTCCCCAAATGAAAATCAATATACTGTCAATATACCAATATACACTTGGCAGTTTTCGTTTTCCAGACATGCACAGGGCAAAAAAGGCCCTAAGTGATCCTTGTCCTTTGTAATACAAAACGATTCTCTTACAGGTAGCAGAGGTCGCAATTTCTTGGTTAGCTTTATCCAATGCCACAGTTAAAACAACGACACTAATAGAACAATTCTTGTGTCATCTGAGAATGATTTCAATATCACCGTTACACTTTCAGAAAAGTTGAGCCGGAATTTGATATCCATATCTACCGAAAGAACTGGAAATGTCACAGTGAGGAAGATAAATGTCCATTATTCGATGGTTCCGTCTTATTTCTCCATTGAATATAAGGCTATCATTATCAGCACTTCATCTGTTTCGTCTGCCCTGTCCATGAGTGATCTCCCTTCGAATTCAGATAGTACTACTGTTTTTCCTGTTGAAAAAACTTTCAAAATATTACATAATATCAACAGCGACCCCGTCAAGTAAGTATACGGATGCAGGAGGTTATTTTACAGTTGCATCAACATTTGATAATACACACCTCATTATTACTTTAGTCATAGATCGTACGACAAAAATTTCTTTTGATGGCAGAGAATATGGCGATGGTGACGAAATAAGAATTATATTGAAACGGTATCAAACATTACAAGTCGGACTTGATGCAGATTTGACAGGGACAACTATCAATGCCTCTCATTCGGTTGCAGTCTTTGCAGGAAATAAATGTAATGTTCTCGGAGATTATAAAACGTGTAGCATGCTAATGGAAATGCTTCCTCCAACGGACAAATTGGATAACGTTTTTATCGTGCCGCCAAATCTCCATAGATTTAAAACCCAGGTGCGCATAGTACAGTGGCTGCAACGTTATTGTTGACAAAACAATCGTGTAGAATCGTTCGTGTAACGTGCGTGATCGTTCGTGTAACGTGCGAGATCGTGCGTGTATCAGACTCAATCGTTTGCAGTTTTAATCGTGCGTGGTCGTGCGTTAAGAAACGTGTAAATTTCGTTTTGTAAGTTTTTATCGGAATGTTATTTATTATACAAGCATTTCGCTTGTCTAAATTTTTTTCAATCCAAATAAAATGAATGAAACGCGATTTACATAATTGAAAGCAGAACGAACTAATTATCGCTTGGAAATAAGCAATATAGTAAGTCGCACAATATTGTGTTCTCGTCAAATCGCGTGATTTTTTGTGATAAACCGTACTTAGATGTTTAAGGATTTTTTTCTCTGATGTTAATTATGTTTACTGCTAATTATGGTCAAAATATTTTTAAAATCAATAGATCAGAAATTGATATTTTTACAAATAAATAAATATACAATTCTCTACGCTTACATAAATATTTAGTCCGCGAATGTACATGTACACGACATGATTGTCGGGGTTTCGTTTATCAGTGTTTGTCTCTGGAGCTTACTTTTAACTATTTTTATAATTTCTGCAAATAAATGATTTGTAAAATAATTGTTGATTTTAGAGATTCACAAATGGAAACATGGATTAAACATATAATTTAATTCATTTTCATGCCAATTTTCTTCAGACTTATCCCTTCCTGCATATTATGAAATCTAATTCAATCAAAACTCACGGTCCATCTACATGTACATGTACATCTTCTGACAGAAGGAAAAAAACAACAGTTTTCTTAAGTCGGAGAATTATGTAAATAATTATTTGTTATCTAATGTATTTAGTTTCAAAAATATCCATTTCTATTTTTTCTATTATTTTTCAAAGTCGATGAAATAATATCAATAATTATTTGAAATCTAAAATAAATATTAAGGCTTATTTCGTTTTGAAAATATCCATTCCTAAAGAATTTGAACTATTTTGCGTGAAGAATCGTGCGTTTGCGTTAGCAATCGTGTAAGATCGTGTAACGTGTAGAATCGTGTGCGTGAGGGATCGTTCGTGTAACAGGTTTTATCGTGCGTTAATCGTGCGGAATCGTTCGTGTAACGTGATCGTTCGTGTAAGTTGTCAACAATAACGTTGCAGCCACTGTATCACCAAGTGAAACGAAAGTTATTTATTCTATTGAAGGAAACAAAACATCCACAATTCTTTCAAGATACAAGAAAATTGATTTTATTATTCGTGAAAATGAAACAGTTACGATAGAGTCGATTGATCCTTTGTTAGTGAATAGTTTTGCTTATGGCTCGAATCAGTCTAAAATTTACGGAGATCCCTACATCATTACTATCCCTGGAATACTTCAATATATCAACGAGTACACCCTCATTATACCAGAACATTTTAGTTTCAGTTTTGCCACATTTATCTCAAAAACTGAATCGCTGGAATACCTTAGAATTAATGAAACGAGTATACATGAGCAAAAAACTTGTTACTATTCCACAATTTATGTAGATATGTCTTTTTGCAGCGTTTGGACTTTAAGTATTTCAAGCGGTGTGACAAAAGTTAAAACATCAGATGGAACACCTTTTGGAGTCATAGTTTACGGGCAGCATTCTTACGATGGACATGGTTTCACAGGAAATGCCATTTTATCAAGTAATTTAAGATGTTAAATATTGAAATGATTTCCTCTCTCTCTCTCTCTCTCTCTCTCTCTCTCTCTCTCTCTCATATTTACTGCCGAAGTTAATTTTTATTTTATTAAATATGATTTTTTTTTCCAATTGAACAGCTTGCAAAGAGGGTTGGATTCAGATTGAAAATTATTGTTACTTCATTTCTCTCAAAAGAGTTTCTTTCCAAAATGCACTGGTGAGCTATATATTTAGAACAGAACTTTTCTTTCTGTGTTTTCGTTCATTATAAAGGTGAGGCTTTGAAAATATATTTTTTATGAAAGGTTGAATAATTAATTATATCTGTGTTATATCTGGTGATATATTTTACAGAAATTATGCAAGGACGAGAATGCACGTCTCACTGAACATCAAAACGTAAGAATGGAGAGACTGGTTGGTCTGCAATTAAATACAAACGGTATGGTTAATTTTGAAAACAAAATACACGTTTTATAACAAAATTTAGCACTTTCGTCTTAACGTATGTAATTTTCAATTCACATCAAAGAAGTCAATATACTAGTATATGAGCTTGCGCTGACCATCCCATGTCACGAACAAACCTTTGGAAGAATACTACCGTGTATGGTCCAGATATTTTATCTGACTTACATTTTTTTGATTTTTTTTTTATGTCCCAAAATCCGTGCGGTAATATTTTACTATGGACCATTATTGAGTAAAGACAATAATCAATGCAATACACATTATTTTACGAATTAAAGATATCAGCATACATACTTTGAACAACCTAGTCCGTTGTTAAAACTGAGAGGTCCATGTTTGCTCTGCTCCCTATTTGTATTGTTTGAAAGGACTTTTGAGCTTGATTAATGTTCGTTATCTCCATATTTTATTCTAGCGTCATGAGTACAGGATATCGCATTTCCTTCACATATCAATCATTTAACACATGCCGCATCTTAATTCTGACTTGAACATACAGTGAAACTTTTCTAATTCGACATACACTGGGACACAATTTTTGTTTTGTGTCAGAATAGACAGGGTGTTAGATTACACGGTGTAATGGAAAATAATGAAATGGGAATTAAATAAAAGGTCGAAGGTCGGAATGAACAGTAAAACAGTTTGGTGTTGGATAAGACAATTTTCACCGTACATTCTAATAGTATTTCATGCAATATGTAAATGAATGAAATGAAAATATTCCAATTATTCATTTGATTCAATTTTTGGTCTCTAGCGGGATTTTTGTAAAAAAAAAAAAAAAAAAAAACATTATTATATGGTGCTCGCGTCTCCTTTCCTTTTTTTTCGACTTAGCAATTTTAAAGACATTTCCTTGATATAGATGTTCAAAGATATTTTCTTTTTAACAATTGTAATGGCATAACAGCTTGAGTTACGTTTAACTTAAAAAAATGAATACTCCAATTAAAAAAGTAATAAATAATGATAACATTCTAACTCTGAGCCCTTGGCACAATTGGCGACATTTGAAAACTGCGATTTTACCATGAAATTGTGTCCAGTCAAACAAAGACAAAGTATCATGACTTTTATTGTTATTTAAAAGATATTTTGGTATGCAATAGGTTATTTATAACCACTCAAAATTAAAAAAAAAAAGTTTTCGTCTATAACAATAATAAAGATGATTTAAATAAAGACAAGATAATTATGTTTTAGGAAATGTTGGTATATGGATCGGCGTGACAGACATCCAACAGGAAGGTGTTTTTGTCTACATTTCTGATGGATCAAGATTAAATAATAATGATAACTGGGCAGAAGGACAACCAGATAGAGGAACAAAATACAACTGTGTGCTAGCAAGAAAAGAAAACAATTGGAAGTGGTATACTTACCCTTGTGATCAAACATTTTAGTATGTGTGCATGAACCTCATATAAATATGTTTCATCAGATTATAAAACTGATCCACTGTACTAAATCATATAAATTATAAGATTTTAATATTCTATCCTTAACTTTGTAAAGCATCATTGTAAGATATTAAGATGTTTTAACTTGTCATTTTATTAGATCTAGCAGAAATTATGAAGATTTTTTGATTTGTTGTCGCAGAAAGGATCTTAGTTAACGAGCATTCATGGAAAGATATTAAGATGTATTAACCTTGTCATTTCATTAAATCCTGCAGGAATAAGGAAGAACTGTTGATTTGTTGTCGCAGAAAGGATCTTAGTTTACGACATTCTTGTGGTTAACACTAGTATGTTTAAGACTATTCAAGTTCATTCCCTCTAGAAATCGCTTAAGAGCTTACACATTTGAGGACCCATCCCTAGTATCATGAAGCAATCTTAACTTGAATAAAAAAATCCCGTCACTCATAAAATGGATATTTATCATAAACGGCCACATTGAAATTAGAAAAAAAAGCAATGGGAAAGAAAAAAAAGTTTTAATAACATTAAGTTTTTGCTTGGTTGCTTGTTTGGTGGTTTAACGTCTCTTCGAGAATTTTTCACTCATATTGAGATGCTACCATTTGCCGTTGAAAGGCTGAAAACTTAGACCGGTACATGTACTCGGCATTTTTTGTGTTTTCTATAAAGAAATCTTAAAAGCAATGTACAGATTCTTACGGAAGTCTTTATCTGCATCATGATCTCAGGCTTGGATTAAAAAAAAATAAAGTTCCTTTAAATTGTAAAATAAATATACCAATATCCCCCGGTAGAGATCTCAAATCTGTTAAAAGTTAAACGTATAATTAAAATTTATAGAAATAATAATAATTCGAACTATTACCCAGTTATGCAGAAATATATTATTTAAATCTTATCTTAACTGTATCTTGACTAAAAGCTTCATTTAAGATGAAAAATCCATTGTAGATACAGTTTTTCGACAAATTCGCTATATCTACGGAAGTGTAAAGGTCTCTACACTTGTTGTGTTATATTTTTGTACATTGTTATACTTTTTATTGTCTCATCCACATATAATCTGTTTTGACTTCTTATTTTCATTAATATATTGTATCGTATCTGGGTATTTTCACATAATTTGAAAATAAGTAACGTCAGGTGCCTGTGGCACAAAGATACCCTTGCCTCCCCTCTCTTCAAAAGTGGTGATGGGGACAGTATCCCCTATGACTATGTCTATGATCTTACTGCTGATGTGTCTCCATCACCCTTTTTCAAACGTTTTTGAATCTGTATCAGTATATAATCGTATACGATGGCAAATGCATGGTTCATGAGCTTTCAGTATGACTCTCGAGTGAAGTGAAGATTCATTAGAATTCCCGCCCCAGCGAAGATAATTCAATATTAATATTTTTTCACTTCTTTCTCGGAAATATTCATATATTTATATCGATATATCTATATATTTATTTTTACAAATCAATATCACTATATTGATATGATTAAATATTTTGCTTTGATCAATATCTTAAAATCAATAGTTTTTTTTTTTTTTTTTTAAGCGATAATACTTATAACAATAAAATTAATTAAATAAAAGAAGGCGCCTTATATTATGTAAAACATCTAAATACAGTTTAAAATATGTGTATAAATAAGGAGCTATAGCACTTTATATGTTAATAAGACAATAAAATATAAGACAATATACACGTTGTAACACAACAAGTGTAGAGACCTTTACGCTTAGTATTACGAGTTCTTTATATCTTATAAAATTTTACAAAGAATTGTTAAGAATTTTTTTTTTCCAAGGGATTTCTACAAAAACTTCGTTGTGTCCGTAAATTAGATATATCATGTTCGTATAAAACGAGCTTTAATGTAATACAGAAAGTTGTTTATTTACTTATTAGATTATTTACTTTAGAGAACACGTGTGACGCAAGATTCTTAGTTTAATCAATATATACTTCGTGATAAATAGTACAAGAGAATAGAAATATATTAACATACTTGCATAAAAATTCAAGTATACCTCGAACTCATTCAAATATCAATAATACGCAGGAATCTTGGGATTCATTCTTATACAGTTTTGTGGAAATATCTTTCTTATATTTCAAAATCACTATTTTTATGAATTAAAATATAAATATCTTCCCTATAGCTAAAAAGGAGGAATAAAGGATCTTTCGCAGTTGACTTATAAATATAAAATATATTTAGTTAGTGACAGCCATTGACTGAGCCCCAGGTAGGTGTCAACAGATTCTTTTTTCTTATATTGCGTGACAGGTTTTCCTAGACAGCTGTGAAAATCATAGTTTCAATTTAAATGTAAAAAAAATTCCCCTTTTTTTTATTTTTTTTTTCTGAAAATGCACGTTACAGATATCTTTTAAAATGTACAGCTATTTGAAATTTATCATTAGAAATAAGGAAATCATTGAAAACCAAGCAGACAAATAAAATAGTGTGTGAAATCCCTTTGCTTTCTTTGACGAAGTTAAACAACGACTTGTAAGAGTGCGGTGTTGGAGAGGAAGGATGCATTCATCATGACCTTTAGATTGTATTACTATTTAAATCTTACGATATGTTGAGACTGATCCCAAAATGCAGAAAAAATTTTTAAGCAGAGAAAGAGTGAAAACGAATACACATACAGTGTAACAGATACATGTATATTCTTCATAGAACATAACCTGAGATTTCTAATAGACATTTGGGTACCGCTGCAAAATTAAAATGAAAAACAAGTCAAACCAAGGTTGACTGAGACATGTTTTAATTTTTTCACTCTTGAAAATATATTTTCTTAATTAGCCACGATCTCAAACAAAAACTGGACTTTTGGTTGTTTAATTTAGCACAAAAGAATGGATATATATTTTAGAGACAAAGAAGAATAATGAAGCCGAATATTAAATATTTTCTCAGAAACATGATCTTTCTCCGTTAAACTTATTCCCGCGTAGTATCCAGTTTTTCTCTCTTTTTCTCCTACATACATATAAAAGTGCAAGACGCCTGACAGGTTATGGTGCTGTGAATGCAAAATGGTGTGGAATATAAGAAACGTCCCGTATCATTTAAAAAGCGCTTAACAAAGGGACTAATAAAGCTGTAGATATCGAATCAAATTTAATATTTATGCAACGAAAGGATAATTTATTTCATTTTATTATTTCTTTATATTTATTTCTTAATAAAACCGGTTTTAGTGCTATTATTAATTTTGATACAGAATTTAAAAAGAAGAAACTTTCATGATAACGTGCTTCTTTTTTTTTTTTTTTTTCCTTTTTTTTGCTAATTCATCTTTCCCATTGTTTATGTTTATTTTTCTCTTAAATTTCGTATCGCAATACAATGGCTTGATTGTAAACTTGACAATGACTTAATTACATTGTTAAAGTATGTAAGTTGTAAGATCTCAGTAGTATTCCGCTACAAACTTGTTTGGGTGTCCATCATCTAAAATGGTAAAGCTAAATAAACAAAGATAACAGGAAATATATAAGAATTTTAAGATTTGTAAGCAAAGGTTAAACACTGAAAAAATTCATACAAGATAGACAAAATGCCGGAAGAGGCAAGAGTAACTCTTTGTACTTTCCTTGGAAAGAAGTATCATTGAAACCTACGTTTACGTTTAAATGCATATGTTTTTAATTATGATGAATGTTTATTTAGTTTATTATTTCTTAATGAGTTCGTTAAGGTAGCATGCTCCTACAGTGATGATTCAAAGTACATGCTGAAACTGTGTATTCAATTTATTTGAAGAGTACATATTTTTTTCCAGTATAATCTATAGATTTGAGACAAAGGCAGGTATTTTTTTTTTTTTTTTTTTTTTTTTTTTTTTTTTTTGCGTTATACTCGTTATAACGAGTTAGTTATCTCATTATAACGAGTTAGCTATCTTGTTACAACGAAATAATTATCTCGATATAACGAGTTAGTTATAGCGTTATAAAGAGTTTTTTTTTTTATTTACATCGTTTTAAAGAAATAATTATCTCGTTATAATGAGTTACTTATCTCTTTTTTATCCGATTAGTTATCTCACAATAACGAGTTAGGTATCTCGTTATAAATAATTAGTTATCTCGTTATAATGTAACATTTAGTTTTCTCTTTATTACGAAAATTAATAGCAATATATGAATAAAAAAGACTGTGTTTTTAAATATCATTTGATCTTAAGTTGATAGTTATCAGACGAATATAACTTGAACGATTGATAAGTGTTTTTTTTTTTTTTTTTTTTTTTTTTTTTTTTTTTTTTTTTTGCTAAGGTTTAATTATGATTAGGTCTTGAACTGTCTTGCTGTCAATAATGATATTTTGATAATTATGGCAAATCTAAGGCGAACACTTTAATACATTAGTGGCATGGCATTATCACTATGTTGAAAACAAATCGTGAACAAGCAGACGTATAAAGCCGGTGTATAGACGAATAATCACTCCCTGCGGCCCACTTTACAAAAGAACTTAATTCTGATAGTAAATTTTTAATTTACACTAAATGAAAAATGTTTTTAATCTTTTTACTTTTACTCTAGGAATTTTAAACAGAATTATTAATTTTGCAAAGTTTAACAATCAATAAAGTTTTTGGTCTTCGTCGTAACTTTTTTTTTTTTTAAACGGGCCCCTGGGGTCATTTTTTTGGCGTCGAACAATAACCTTGGGTCATTATTCGACGTCGAAAAATGACCTTTTGCCTGTAGAAAAAGTGGCATCACCCTTAAAATCTCCATACCCCACCTGAAGAAAAATGACTAGAATAATGGCCCCTTGTAGATTGTGGTAGGGATATATATTTAATTTTCTTTTAGGTAAAATAGATTTAGAAGTATAGATCAAAAGGCCCGTGGACCGAAATGCTCACCTGAGGATACAATGATATGTTGGTCTCATAAATCTTTCGAATAAAATGATCAAATAATTGACAACATTAATCGATTTCAATCTAATCTTTGATGACATGCTTCCACTTTTATTTGAAAAAAAAGATCTAAAAGATTTTTTTAAAGATAGAAAGAG